AACAGCGTGAGCTACGTTGAGTAGGAGTCGAAGCACTTGCTGAGTTAGAAGAGTTTGACTTTGCGTAGTACCTTCGCTGCGTTGATCTTGTCCAGGGAGAGACTGGCCGTGCAGTTGACTGTACACGCAGCGCCTGAGTAGCCAAAACGTGTTCGGCATACGCGATCCTTGTACTGAGGGCTTGGCGTTCATCTTTTCGAGCGTGAAGCGTAGGCTGTGATGAGTGTCCATTGGAGCTAAGCCGACCCGGTAGACATGATGGAGTAGCCTTTCGGGACATTGAACTGTCCGCGGCGCCTCCATCAGCTCCTCGTAGAAACCGAGGCCATGGGTCTGCGGTTTTCTCTTTGTGGTAACTGTAGGCTGCAGGATGATCTGGAAAATATCAGCTGGCAACGACCACTCGGGAACGGGAGCGCGTTTTTTGAAGTATTTGAGCCGCTCATTGACTCCGTAGTAAAGGATGCCCAAGTACTCTTTCTCCTCTTGGTACTCATCCTTGATGATATGCTGCTTGACGGCGTCATCGCGGTCCGCGAAGGCGGCTAGGAGCAGCTTTTTCTCTTCCACGAAGTCGCAGGGTTGAGCCTGAAACCCTCCCTGAGCGCCATTGAGTGCACCGTGCGTAGTCCTCTCGGAGAGGCTCGGTCTCGAACGGGTTGCCCTGCTGTAGTAGTTGCGGTTCCTCTTGCCGTGATATGTTCATGCCACGTACCTTCTGAGTCGATGTATTTCTGCGTGCTGCCTTTTGTTTGCCATGCCTCAGAGGTCTGTGCCTCTGATGCTCTCTTGCCTGCTGCGCCGTGAAGTTGCTTCTGCTTCTTGATTGCTCTCGTGAGTGTGTCCAGCTTCTCTCCGATGACCAGAGCGATCCCTGCGCCGATGTACTGCTTGCGTAGATCCGCACTTTTCTTCAGAAGCTCGAGCTTCTCTGCCATGAGCTGCTTGCTGGTACCCTGTTTTTGTTTACTCTCGAAGTAGGGCTTGGCTGTGGTCTTAAGCATGTCGATCAGGAACTTCCATTGGGCGTATGTGGTGCCCTGCTCGTTGAGCTCGCGGATGGTATTTGTGTTGTTCTCCAGCGCGGTCGCGAGGGCTGATATGAGCTCGTTGCGATCATCCCCAGTCTGTAGAGACTCTGCCATTTTGTCGCAATCCCATAACGTCCGAAGAATGTCTGGGAAGAAGTTGGGTATGACGATGTCGGCCCTGGCGATGAGTGGCTCGTGGTCACTCGGCACGCTGTCCTTGAGCTGCTGAACTGCTTTCGATGCCTTCCACCATATACCGCTTGTCTGAAGATTCTGCAATAGCCTTTGAGGAACCACGAGGTAATCAGTTCTCGTAGCTTGTCCTGCTGCACCAAAATAGGTAGGGCCAGCCTTCCAGAGGGTATTGGGGAGGCAAAATCCGTAAAAGTCCTTCATGTTATAGCAGGAGGCTGCTACTTCACCTGGCCGGCCGTGTAGTTGCGAGTCGCCGAAGGCTTCATTTGCTTCATCTGCAGAGAGTCCGTCAGCTCCATATTGATGATCTTTGAAGTCAATGCCTATCGACGGTGTGCTGCACGTCGGTGTGGCATGAAGCGTACTGTTGATCCACTTGAGCGTCTCTTTGACCGTTTTGACCCACTGGATGGACTTTGCTGCTAGCTCAGAGTGAGGCGAGAAGTAGGCCACGAAAAAGGCGAGGTCGCACTCGCCCCGCTGGAAGCGGAGAGCACCAGCGTATGTTTGTCTCTGCTTGGGCGGGCTGTTGATATGGAC